AACATCAATTTGAATGACAGCTTTTATCTATGTTTATTATGCCTTAAGACTTAGCCTATACCTTTAGTCGATTTCTAATTAGGAAAAGCAGTTTTACTTATCTAGAATCCATCAACTAATTGTAGTATGTATTTTTTGTTGTTTTGTTCCAATTCCTCAAAGGGATCCAAGTGACCAAAAAATACAAATGTGGAATGGAAATTTTGCTAAGAGGGAGATCAACAGAAATTCCATATTTCAAAGATTCCCAATCCAATCCACCTTTTACATGAATCCAATTGACTCGATCCAATCCACCTTTTAATCTTTACCTTTGGAATCCATATTCAACTTAGTTTAGCTGAAATCGGAGATTTATCGAAAACGAAAGAATTTCGTCAACCATCTTGAATGAAGCTAACTGCAGTTAGAGTCATCCAGCTGTGGATTAGTGTAAAAGAAATACCAGAAATAGCACGACCATCATTTAACTTGTGATGTAAATATTTAAAAAAAATTAAAGAGTTGAAGGTGCAATGCAGAGGGGTCATTCAACGATCATGGACCAGTGTCAAAATATATTTTAGTTTGGATATTTCATCAAGACTAACATCTATTTTTATTATCTACAAAGAAACCCCCTAGATAAACATTATTTTAGCTGATATTCCTCTTGAAACATGGTGGATCTTAAAAATATAAAAGTGGAAGTCCCCTTTTTGAAGTTTTGAACTGAATTTACACTTCTTAATGCTGAAATTGATAATTTATCCATACATTTTAAGAAAATAGGTATGTCAAAGAAGATGTTTAACCATATGTTGCCTTGATAGCTCAGAAAAAATGAAAAAACTTTTCTATTTTCTCTACAGTCCTTATTGCCCCTTTAAGCACGAGCTTGTTATTTACGCCATATTGAATTTTAAAACTTCTAAAAATAATTTCTATATAGATGGTGACGTGCTTAATTATTGGCTCATCGAACGAAGTTCGGGAAGATATAAAAAACACTTTAACTAAAAAGCAGTAGAGCGATTTTGTTGACTTTCATATATATCACTTTTTAAGACAGTTTGGCTAGTGAGTGGTCATTTTGAAAAAGGGTGGCCTTTTCTATGTGTGTTATTTTACAATATTTGCTATAACGAAAGTAGTAGAGGAATTATAAAAAATGGCAGCCATGGCTGTTCTGTGGCAATTGCTACGCATTACTTGGCGTTGCTGTCATCTCATTCAGATATGTGCATGTAGTCCCACTGTTCGATATATCAAGGCCGGTGGTTGAACTAGAATAAAAAGGAGCCCCATAGGCCACTTCACCACTAACGAGTGTTTTTCATAATCAATTCTATGATAAAAAGCTTCATTTGCCGTACTTCCCCACTTGTTAATTAAACTCTAGAAACTCAATAAGATTGCAGTGTTTGCAATATTATTTGATGCTTTGGACGAGGGTTTCCGGGATCCAACGAGATGGTATTGAGCTCGAGTCTTAAAATCATTGCGTTCTAATGCATGTTATTGGGTTAAGCCATTAATTTCAAAAGAGGAAAATGCATTAACTTTTTAGATAAGAGCAAAAGGTCACGATGATCGATCGTGTGTAACCAATGGCAACTTTATCAAATAAATGTCGCTCATCCATTATAAGAGGAATTACTGTAAATTCAAACAGTCAAAACAATCAGCTTCGAATGACTTCCAAGGTGGCTATTACACATCAAGGTGGAGTTGGAGCAAACTGGAGCCTTGTGAATAAAGATGAATTAAGATTAATCGCGCATTTAAAGGGATTGGCTGGAAACATTACCCGATACCTATGCAACAGTATCGTAGTTTACAGATGACAAGTGCATTAATATCCAGAATCGCGAAGAAAAACTACTTGTGTGTGTTCTTTTTCAGAGTCGAGTGGTGTAATTCCACCTAAAAATTACAAAATCATATAAGGAAATAGGGAAAATCCCCCCTTTTCTCAAAGATCCATTCCTGTAGAATCCGGCATGCAATATATTGCACATATTTAATTTAATAACATGCCTTAACGAGAAAAAATACACAGTAAATCGAAACATGCAGCAATTCCTTTTAAAGTAATAAAGTAGAATTCAATTAATAAATCCTAAATACAATTTTAGCGGAAACTATTACTTGTTCCAGCTGAAAATGCTGTTTAGGCGCATTGTTGTCATTGTTAAAATGAGAAGTGTTGCCATTTTTAGTAAGACGTGTACATCTAAACATATTTACAATAAGGTTATTTCAGTCAATTGAAGGTGTTGAATGGGATTCATAAAACTATTGAATGAGTTGAGTGGGATCAATTCAACTTGCCATATTTTATCATATAATCCTATTCTAGAATCTATGTATATAACTTGGGTATACTCATAACTCATCTGTCATCATTTGAATGGGAAAGGTGCAATCTGGCATATGAGTCCATTATATAGTAGGACGTAGGTACATAATAGAAGTATAACACTTTAACACTTCACTTGATTCCAATCAAATTCAATGCAATACTGTCCTGGACTTTAAACTAACTGATTGCAAATAAAATGATGATGATGATGATGGTAGAAATAAAACAAATCGCAAGTAAGTTCAATTTGTGCTAAGCTGCAGTAAAATACGAGTATGCATATTAAACTTTCGCATATTGCAATCAGTACGTAAGTTAACATAATCTGAACGCGTCTCCGGTCTTTGTTTCATGTATAATGTAACACGATGATTATCAATAATCGCCATGATACAGGGAAGAAAGGGATGCAACTCCCATGTCACATATTAAGTTAAAATATGATCTGATTTATTATTAACAGAGAGTCAACAAAGAGTAAATATCGATAATCGCCATAATACGGACATTGTTTTTTCTAGCATCCCGGAGCTCAGATTTCAGAATTGACTAGAGACTCCTCTGAAAAGAATTCCGTAAACTATGCCGTTCTCCGCGACTTAGATAACACTACGACGAATATGAGGATTGTAGTAAGCAGGCGTGGAACGTGATACAATAAAACTGCGAACAACAGGTATAACATTTACCGTTGTCGTATAGAAATCAAGAAAAACGTCTGTAAGTAAATTGAAACATATTGGAGGGATACCGGGATGAAAGACTCACGGCTATGAAAGCATAGGACAATTAAAAAACAAAGGTTTTGATTTTCCAATATATGATGCTCGAGGGAGATCGTGGCTATGTATCATTGAGTGTTTTTGGATTTTATATCGAATGACGTAATTTTGGTAGAGGATCTTAAGAGACGTTATACTTTGTAAGGAGGACAAAACTTGGATTAAAAACAAAAAAGCGGTAAGTTCCTCCGTATTTTTTTTGAAATCCCATATTCAAACATTAAGTACTATGTATATCCAAAGTACGTGTGTAGATTTATAAAGAATTTATTTAAAAAAAATGTAAGATATTTTACAAAACTTTTGGCTTGGGGAGACGGTTATCTATCGATAAAGAGCTTGCGTAATTGTATACAAAATAACCGATTACGTAACATGAGATAATGTTACGCAATGAACGCGCCAGTAGAACAGTTCCATTTTGCTTAAAACTCTGAGAAATTTTGGCAGCTCATTGGCCTTAAAAAAATCGCATATTTTAATCAGAGCTAATATTTAGGGCTATTTATGATATATCGTTTGAAAGCTCGGGAATGGCAGCAAGAGCGTTTCTGGCGAAAACACATTTATCGTAGCTCAAAAACCCTTATTCATTATCATGTTACTTGAAAGCAAAACACTAAAAATGGCGATGCCGACTGAACAAACATATTCATCAGAAGTATTATTAAATAATGGACGGTGATTTATTTATTATCTGCGGTTATATCTTTCTCATTCTAAAACGAGAATCGTTACATTTTCCCAAAATTTTACGTTAGATTTTGTAAATTATTAATGCAAATTGAGATATACTGTAACGGTAAAAACACAAAATGCCAACAATTGTTATCTTCAAAATGACCTAAAACGAGTTTAAAAGGCATTTAAGTAAAAGAATGATAAATTAAAAATGTGCGTTTCGTTTCGTGAATTACGTGGTGAACCAAGTGAACGCCGACGTGTTCACATTACAAATTCCCTGTAATAAACGGCATAATGACAATGTATGTATGCGTATACAATTCCGAACTTTAAATGCAATGAAAGAAATGAGCCGAGTTCGCAAAATCATATACAAAAGCAATTGTCATTGTTTCTGATTATGAGCGGCGCAATGACACTGACAGTATAATATTACGACCTTTAAAGGAATATTCCTTGCCAGACCCTTTCTCTCTTGATATGGTAGCTATAATCATATATATAGTTTCCATATTTAGCAAAACATGGGAAAATGTTTTAATATGGTCAATATTGATCATTTAAAAATCTAGTGCTTATTTCCAATGAGCTGCCATCTTTTAAGATTTCTTGCAGGAAGTGATGTCATCAACTCTCAACTTCTATAACCTTGCCCATTACAGTATAGGAAAGTAGCACAAAATCACTTCTAGACAAGTGATCATTACTTTCTGTGCAAAAATATTTTCAGGACTTGTCAACTTAGAATAAAAGAAGAGATTTTCAGAAGGATTAAATAAGATACAAAGTTGAAAAAGAATATTTAACTGGTTTTGTTATTCTTAATAGCTCCTCACCTATTGCTATATGCAAAGTTGAGAGTCGATGACATCACGTCCTGTGTGAAATTTTAAAAGATGGCAGCTTACTGGAATTGAGCATCACATTTTTAAGTGATCAAATTTGACCATATCAAAACATTTTTGCGTGTTTTGCTAAACATGGCAAGCATATATATGGTTATAGCTACCATATGAGGAGAGAGATGGTTTGGCAAGGAATATTCCTTTAATATATTAAGAATCCAAGATCGCTATATCATAGGCAAGGTACCGTGAATGAAAGCTGTTTATTAAAAGCAATCTCATTGATTTACGTTTATGAAGAATAATTGTTGAATTGATACTTCAAATAATTCTATTATATTTCAGAATGAGAATTAACGCAATGATGGATGGAATAAAGGAGTTCTCTGCAATGGCGCTTTTGTTCTTTCTATTCACCTCTGGTAAGTGTGGAACTGTGTCGCCATGGTAACCGATTCATATCCTATCGCTTAGCTTATCTTGTCGACAATCACTGTAACTTAACGTACATTGAACTGTGTAGACATATTTTAATATCCATTTATGATATGTCGATTACACTAACGTAATAATTAGCTGATTATGGTGAAATGTCATTTCAATTTCACTTATGAATTATTTTGATGTCAGAATATGTTTTCTAACATTAAGAGTGAATATCCACGTGAAAATATGAAGCAAAATATCCACATTTAAATCATTATTGTAAATCAAAATCATCACAAAACAAACAAAAATGTCTCAAACGTGCGTATCAACAGAATATACATGTACCTCAGCTTATAACAACATGCCGTAGAGTAACTAATGAAACATACTACATCCAGTGTCGCCGTAACCTTTTTATTACATTCTCTTAAGCGCAGTTTTATGGAATCTGTATTTAATAACTACACTCCCATTAATAAGTCTGTCAACCGGATGCGTCTTTATTTGATATCTTGCAAAAACCTTTGTTTTATGTTTATTTTATGTTTGTTACTTTATTTTGTTTCTTAATTACAATCGTTCGTATGATTATGACAATTTTTTTAATGACATTGAACATTTAGCTTTAACACGCGATCCAGAGGGGGCTTTCCTGTTGTGAAATTTATAGAAGGACGTCAAATTAGCATTGCAATATACGTAAAATGCTCAAATAAAGATTGCTAGGGACTGTCCTTTGGCGCAGATGCAAATAGTAATTGTTGATTATAAGCTTTCTTCCATAGATGTGAGATTCAATGTTGGAAGGGTAACAAGGCTTTGCGTATTACGCTAAATAGCAGAACGTGTTTCTGATATAAAGAAATCAAAACACTGGATGCCAGATGGAATGATTGCATAAGTGGTGTGTTTAATGCTGCCAGTGCAAAATAGATTGTTTTCTCCAGGGTATAGTGTCCTAGTTTCAAATGATATCCAATTGGTCTTTGTGTTCAATGGTCTGCTGCCAGTGTAAAATATAACATAGTCCCCCAGGGTATACTAGGGTATTACCCTTGTTCGATTTGATAGCAAATGTAGTGTCCCTCATGGCATGCCAGGGTATTGTCCTTGTTCGATTCACTCAGCTATTTGTTTCATACTCTACTGGCGATGTAAAAGAGAATATGGTCCCCAGGGAATATTGTATTACTTTCTTTTACCTCGGGATAATCCCGATATTCTTAACCTTATTCTTAGGATAACTTTTTCTATATATGATATTTTCTATTCATGATATCTAAATACATTAATATATAATGGCTACACACGCTGAATAACAACGACTTTAATCCAGCTGTAATAAAAAGAGAGTAGTAGATAAAATTGTAGTATTAACACACTTTTACGACTCATTGCATTTTTGAAGAGACTTCCCTGGGCATTAGGGGGTGATATAGCTGCTTAAATTGATGGTCGCGACTCGCTGAAATTACAGTGATAACGCCAAGATTTATAGAGCCTGTCATTGTTTTCCTTTCATTACCATCAGAGTCCGGATACAAGGGAAATATTGTGACGCAATGCAGGATGTATATGGGGCAGAAAATCCTGTAGACAACCATTATATAATTTTATCTCATAACGTGATTGTGAATGGGTGAGTCACTCGTGTTAATTGGAATCTTATCTGACTTGTGATTAGACTATCTGGATACCATGACCACGTTGATTTAAAAAATGAACATCGAAAAAGCAGTTCATTAAGGATCATTTTTCTACTACAAATTCCGCTACAAATGGTCTCTTAAAAATCATTCCATCATCACCAGATATCCTTAATAAATTTTGGAAAGTTTCTTTGATGATTAAGAACTTGCCTTTTTAGAAATGAGTGATTTGACATCAACAGTACGTGTAATAGAGCGATACCAAAAAGTATAGTCTATCAAGTTTCAAAACGATCCCAAACACAACGTAAAGAATGCTTGTCTGCGCACTGACGGATCAAGGGGGGGGGGGGGCATAACCCCTCCCCTAGGATTGGCCTAGAAAATCCTTTTGAGCTGACCTTATTTTTAATTAGAAGTCAAATTATCAAAAATAGGCCTTAAATGTTCAAATTATTGGCCAAATTTGGGGTTTAAGGGGCCCAAAAATATTTTCTGACTTCAAAACTGCCCCCCCCCCCGTGTTAGCTTCTGGATCCGCCTGTGCTCTGGTAATTTAAGATTTTTCACCATGCGATGGATATGAGACCCCGCCCCATCTTATATTACACTCCTCCCTAAAATTTTTGAAAAAAGTTAAAACCATCAAAGAGATACACTCTTCCTAATAAATTTGTAATTAAGTTTTCATCTTACTTCAATGTCAGGACCTTTTAATTCGAATCCTCGATTACAATAGCTCAGATTGATTTGTTGATTTTTCAATCGCCGAACACAAATATGCATTAAACAGAATGTGTTGCGTTATCCAAATGGGGACTTCGGGTTACCAAATTTATGGAGGGGAGTGTAAACTTCTACCCTACTGTAATGTGCGACACATGCGTGCCTCGTCGCATGGTTCAAATTAACATAGTTAACGTTTCCAAACGTTTGGATGTGATGTTTATATCGATCTAGAGCTTTTGTTCAAGAACACTAAAATAACATCATTGCCATGGGAAAGCAATTTTTCTTTTATAACCAGTATTACGTGCTAAATCAAGTCAAATAGTGATGCTAACGACAAAAGCAAATTCCAATAATACTAATGCTACTGAAGTATGAGACACAGGAGTTAATTTACCGATAATTTATAACATTTGTGTGCCTAAAGCACATCTTGAGAAATCACTGCTTTCTCTCTGTTGTTTTATAGAATAATTTTTTTTATTAATTGTTTAATGATTTATTTCAAGTAAAGCATACACCGTCAAGCTATTTACCACACACTACATAGTTTTAAATATTTTACAAATCAATTTTATTGAATGCTCATTAGATTAATCATGTTACGTCATGAGAATGTCGCCAGTTCTCACACGAAACTAGATTGTACAAGGGCCGAGCAATATATTCGCTACTTTTTGCTTTATTTTCTTTCATATTTTTTCATTTCTATTGAAATGTGGCACAGACATGCAGTGAAGAATTCCACATCTTTTGATACCATTTGTGAGCCAATTACCATATATAGCAAAAAATTCTGGTTGTCATAGCAACACGAGTAGCGGATCACCGGAGCTGCCCATAATTTTACCCAAATTGCACATATAACAATGTCTTCATATGCCCATATCTTCACACAAAAACATTGTTTGGGTAATTTTTTATACACATACATTGTTTACTCCATATTTACCAAATATTCAAAACAATGTTTGTGATGTCACAGATATTTATTTGAAACAATGAAGAGGTCACAGTTGATCCGTGTGTGCATCACAAAGGGAGACTTGTGCTTACTGAGTTGCAAACATGAAACAAACATGATGAATGCAAAGCTAAGAAAACAGCTTCTATTTAGACCAGTGAAAAAGGAACATACATTAAAAGAAGCTGTTGAGGACTAAAGAGCTACCTGTACATATGAAGAAGATTGTGAATGTTATTACTTCATTAGATATTGGTTCAAAAGGTCTCAACTTGGCCGTAACTCAATTGATGATGTCAGGTCAGGCTGTAAACCAACAATTTGAGAGTAGAACCTAGTGAATATGCTGATCATTTGCCCTTCTTTCCTCTTGGCAGTTAGATTCCGCTAAATTCACTCTGATGCTATCTTTATGCATTGTTCTGAATATAAGGTCAGTGTCCAGTAATGTCCAGTAAACAATGTATAAAAAAATTACCCAAACTGAATGTTTTCGTAAGGAGAAATGGGCATATGAAGACATTGTTGTATGTGCAGTTGCGGTAAAATAATGGGCAGCTCCGGTGACCCGCTACTCACGTTGCTATGACAACCAGAATTTTTTGCTGTATATAGTAATTGGCTCACAAATGGTATCAAAAGATGCAGAATTCTTCACTGCATGTCTGTGCCAAATTTCAATGGAAATGAACAAATATAAAAGAAAATAAAGCAAAAAGTAGCGAATATATTGATCGGCCCTTGTATAGGGACATAGGCCTACAGTATACTTGTTTCAGTGTGGGAGAAATAAAGGAATAAATCTCTACCCTCTCATGACACCCTTAAAGAGAGGGTAGGGTAATACTGCATGGTGCGAAAGGATGAAAACACAAGGATGCTATAGCATGCTATAGATGTGAAATGTACAAAGTTAAATTTAATATTACTTAAAATAACCCCCTAGCTTATATATATTAAATGCAATTTACAACATAAATTAATTAGACTTGTGTCAAAAAATATGTAATATTTATAAACAAATATCTTTACTTTAGTGGTTGATAAGCCCATGTGCATTACTTTTCTTTTGTATTGTACTGTATTACATGATGTAAACTTACCACTGTAAATAACAATAAAACTAAACTAAACTATATCTACACGTATGTCGCCCTTTGTATAATTTAAAATTACCATTTGTATAAATTCGTTCTCATTAAAATCAATCGATAAAGGTCAATCAATAATAATTTATAGCCTATTAATACAGCCTTATGGATCAATTATTGATTGACAAATTATCTATCATCCCGACTTTGTCACGCTCGCGGATGGATCTTTACAATAGGGGAATTATAAGTCTGACAGTCCCATATGGAAAGGGGTCTTTAATAGTTTGTTCGGCCGGGGAACATACACAATGAGGCTGACTTGAAGAAAAATGTAGAATAGATGGGAGTCTAGAATGTTGAAAGCAATCTTTTTTAAATGCATACCAATCTATTCCCCTATGGATTATTGGATCCCAGAATGCAATTCCGATATTCTGCCATATATGGTGTCATATGACGTCATAATTACCGTTTTTTTTGTTAAGAAATATCGTTGTTACATTCTGACCGTCAATCCTCCTTTGTTTTCCTCGCAATTTTGATCAATGAAAATTGCAGTCAAAATTATGCAGTTTCTTACAATAGCATAGGGATTGTTTTTAATAGTTTCTCATTGTTGAAAAGGTCTAAAAGAGATACGCATAATACCACATGTAAAACTAAAACAGTGATATCAATGAATCAATGAAATGTCTTGGAATTTGTACAGTAAGTGTATCACAAGCCTTAGATTATGTGGAGAAAGTTTAGTCAAGATTAGTAGCCATTAACTCAATAGGAAACGATTTTTGATACAGATGGTATGTATTTGTCAAAACAGTAATATTATGACATCGACAACGAAATGCGACAGGCCACGCACTCGTCCAATACCTCTTCGAATCATCTATAAGCATCCCCGACTGAGATTTGTTCTATTTTCAGCAATAGATGGCGTCATGATCACACCCACGGGATACCGTGTCTCCAGCATGGTAGAAGATAACAGCGGAGACCGGGCCTATGACGGCCTTAGTAACACTTATGCGTTAACTGGAAACGGTTTCGAAGCATGGATGCTGTTCATTTTCCCATCGAATCAAACGTTCAAGAGTGTCGACATTCAAGGTAAAATAAACATGTACAGTAACATTTTAAATGTTTGGAACTAATTTGAATTAAAAAATAAGCAATCAAAAAGGACCATATTGAAACATTATATGTAAAAATAGAAACATTTATACATGTCCTAACTTTTGTATATTTTAGTTATTTTGTAGTTTAGCTATCATATATGTGGCCTCCTATATTTTGATGTTTCTCTGCCATGTTATTTTCGGAAAAATTAACATGGCTGAAACTCCCTAAATCACTAAAGGCCAGAGCTTTACTGCACATTAATATCTGAAATATACAAAAGTTAGGACAAGTACATATGTTTCTATTTTTTGGCAATATAGTCATTTGCAATTGATTGTTTATTTTTTAAATTCAAAGTAGTTCCAAACATTTAAAATTTTATTTTTGTAAGCTGCAGTCGGCTATCTTCGGAGTATAGTAGAATGCAGTCTAACATTGTTTTAAGAGTTCCCAGTGCACATTTTCCTATCGTATGCTAACTTTACTTGAAGTGGATTTTCGAATACGTAATTAAATATAATGGCGATCTATTTTCCGAGTTCGGCACAATTTCGGTAATCGGAAATGCCCATTTATTGTGTGTTGGCGCCTCTTTTAGTTTGAATAATGCTTATACGTAAATGGTCCTCATTTACAACAATCTGGAAATATATGACAAGTTTAAATCGTCAAACATCAATAGATGCACACGCCATGGTCCAAAATGTGACTTCCGAATGCCGTACTTGGAGAGAATGTGTTCGCGTTCATGTATGCTGACAGTCGCATATAAAGACTGCAAAAGGCCAAAGAAAAAAAAGAAAGTGAAATTTAACTCAGATTAACAATGCGATCAAAAGGTTCTGTGCTTAACTTATTTAAGAATCAATAAATTCCTCATTAACTCAGGAAGTTACATTTTTACCTAATCGATGCTTTACAAAACATTGACATCATTGTCCACAACAGCAACAACAAAACAACGAACGTGCGGATTTTATTTTAGAAGTGAGGCCAGAAAACAAATCAATTTATCATATGGTTCAAAGGATTAAAATAAGTAAATCGAAACCATCGAATGTCACCTTGAAATCATTGAATATCACTTTTTAAGAAATGATATTCCATGGTTTGTGGATTTTTTGTTAAAATATAATATATTTTAGTTCATATCTATTTTCGCGTGATAATCGAGGTATCCTATCGATATGTCCTTTAAAAAGTACGAGCCAACGTGCCAACATATCCACACTGGAATAGCCTGACAACGAAATTACCACCATTTGTTACAACGGTGTCTGACTTTACCGTTGTCAGGCTATTCCGGTGAGATATCGTGCTTTTAGCGTACTGTCTATCTCTTTTCCAGGAATTCTTCCACCGAGCACTGAGTTCCGATGTGGAGAGGCATACGAACCAATGGGGAGAGGTGACACAAAACACAACCATTTGAAGCGAAGTGTGACGAGCAGCAGCCAATCCATTGTTGCGCTCTCCGATTTTATCAACATAGACCTGCCCAGATGCGTCGGGAGTAAGGTCCTCGTCAAGAACCTAAACGGGACCGCGTCCATCAAGATCAATGAATTAAAGTTCAACATTTAACTCTGATACAACAGCAGTCGTCAAATTGGGAATATAATCTAAAAATAGTGATGCATGTCATGCACGTTTAAGCTCAAAATATCAAACTAAACTAAATTGTTAAAAATTATGTGTAAAAAATAATCTATAACCAGCATACCGTGTAATTATATGTCACATTTTCCAAAAACGCTAAACGTGGAATTGACGTAAAGTGGTACAATTCACGTACATGTAACGTGCACTTTTATATGTGTACGCAACACGTTACTGTCGTATTCTCATATCGATTAAATGTGTAAGTTCATGATATCTGTGAACAAATTTGTAATAAGGCTTTAATTAGATGGGCATTGAATGTGGCACAATACAAAGGTAAGCGCACGCAGCACTTTCAAATACCGATGTACAGTCTTAACACAACGAAGCCTAAAGGTTTCTGATATTTATTGTTTGAATGTGTTTATCATTTTGCCTTAAGGGACACAATAATCAATAAAAATGGCTGCTTTGCCAGAGATTAGAATCAAAGTAAACAACGGGAAATAGTTATGGAGTAAAAATGTCTTGGGGACATATCGGGTCCGTTGATGCAAGGATTATATTTTCTAAAACTAAAACAACAATCTCTGGTGATTTGGATATCATAATATGAGACTTTTCGTTCCCTGGAAAAGATTGACTCAGTTTTTAAAAGAGAAAGCCAAAGCCAAAAAGGTTCATGACGCTCAAGGATATTTCCGAAAAGATAAACTCAATCGTGGAGTTAATGCCAACCTTTTAATATCACCACAATTTCCCTGCACTATGAAGTTTGGAAGGATATGATTTCAAAGCACATTGACTTCGATAAACACGTTTTTTGTGATTTGGATGTAGCTGCTGATTTGATTGGACAATAATTGTTGTGAATGATTTCCGTCCAGCTTTAACGAAATGTAAATAGTAGCTCTGATATAATATCCAAGTGTTTTTGAAATATTTGGGGAATGTAAAAATATTTTAGTACTACATGTTTATACACATTCTAGTTGAACATTGTCTGATGTCCGGGCTACTAATAAATGACAACATTGATTTGAAAAATTTAGGACAAAGACGCATGTCCGGGCTACTAGACATATAGATGTTTTTCGGTACATTGTCTCCCAACGCTTTTTGTGAAATCACCTGTTGTTTCCGTAACATAACAGTCACAAATTTTCTAGATGGTCGAAAAAGTTGCTTGAAATACATTTTGCTTCATCATTAAAAATTAACACATGTAATTGTTTTTGTTCTTTGGATTATATTTTGGTAAACGTGCACAAAACAATCACCTGGAAGTTGTTATCTATAAAAAGCATTGATATTCCGCCATCGTAGTAATGTTACGGAAACAGCTGTTATCGAAACCCATAACGCTTCACTCCACTGTCACTGGTCCCCACCTTTTTATATCAAAACAGAGAACATTTTGTTTTCATCATTTTCACCAAGAAAGACGTCGATTTGTATGATCTATATGTTTTACTCGTATCTTAATAACATGCCGGTTACTAATCAGTCACGAGTATCCAATGGCACCAATAATCGAATAAGAAACCCCTCACTTCAGTAACCAGGACGTTAAGACAACGCAAAAGGGTTTGAAATTCACTAGGTGGGGACCAGTGACCTTAAAGTTGGATAATCTCCAACAAGTGTTGATTTATCAGATTGTATTTCATGATCACTGTTACCTATTTACTTCGCTAAAAGCATTGTTTAAATATAAATAGTTAATGGTATATAAATGTTTAAATAAAGTCAATATTTTGTGATAGCTGATATACATATGTTGTGTAAATGTACTTCGATAATCGCAGACTCCATCACCATGTTGGAAATCTAATTTCACCCAGCAACCATAATGATACTCATCACATCTTTCTGTCTTCAACAAGAATACTAGTGTGTAACTAATAGAAGCCCATGATCTCTCATGATGCCCACCGTCAAATAAATGTTTCAAATTGTGTTGAAAATAATTCGGAGAGCTAGGTCATTGTAATTTGTTCTAAATTACTTCATCTTTACCCTGTTTGTGAGAGCCTAGTACATTATGCAAAATCAGACTTTTGAAAATGGCAGTAAATCCCAGACTGTCCCAAAGGTCCCGGATGTGGTTTGGTAAAAATATATAAGCACCGTGGTGGAGCTATTCATACTGGTTACAAAAATGATCAGTTTCGGTAACAAAATGGCGCAGCAAGCTCGGAGTTATGAGCGTCGGGCCTGTCTTTATCTCAGATTGAAAGGAACAAAAAGATTCCTATCTTAAATAGTCATCACTAAAATCTATATTATTCGATAAGCACATATAAAGTGATTGGTAAAAAGGTCACATCAAAATGCGTTCACGTAAATACAGTATCAGTAGAGAGGTTAAGCTACACGTCTAAATGCAAACCGTGAACCTGAACGCGTAAGTTCACGCTCAAGCAAGGGCTTATTTAATACCCGGAGCTTAAGTTGTGTTCCAAACGAAACGGCACGTCATCCGGGGCTCTATATGATCTGCATTACACAATGTATAGACTGGTTTTCTCAGACTTAGGTACTTTTTTCTGTCTTACCGTTTTGCGGTTATTTTACTCTATGGCACTGCAATCCGTTCACATCATTAGCTACATAATTGATTAACTCAAATATATGATATGTAAATAAGGATTAATACGAACAGAATAAACAGGGAAATGTACTTGAAGTGGCGATTGTGTTTTCTGTCAGTCAGTGTTACCCCCCTTACCCAGCTGTCGCAGTATACGGTGACCTGATTATGCAAATGAGAAGACCCCGTTGGTTTCTAGTCAGAACAATCAAAACGGACGCGGACAATCTTCGTTCTGTTGTTTCTCAACGTTTTGTGACCAAAATTCACTAAACTATAAGAGATATGCCAAGTTAAGAATGAATTGGTTTTACTTAACAATCACTAACATGAACTGCCATATTAAGCTTTGGACTTCATGTCCAAAGGGGGGTAACACCCCGGGAGTAACACACATCGTCGGGATCAAATTCAAGTTATTGTACACCATTTTAATAGACTAGATACTAGATAGTAGAAATAATCTTGACTAACGTCATTAAAGGCCCACTCTGCGTATTTTCAATGTTTTTGGGCAAAATAAAGACTTTTGTATGAATTCTATAGAATGTATTGATAAGAACCCTATCTTTCATTTGACACCAACAACAGCTCAAACGGACCACATCAAAGCTTACAATAATTAATCCAAAAATATTTTTCGATCTGTCAAGCTTTATACAAGTCAAGTTTTTATCAATGTCATTAAAAGATGGCGAAGTTGTTTGTACTACATGATACATTCATTTTTATAGAAGTGTCGCCATCTTTTAAATCAAAAGTAATTAAAAACATACACTTTGTTTAGCATGTGCACGCATGTCTAATGATCTCTGAACTTCAAATGTTTTTTTCTTTGTGAGTTATTTTTTTCTTGGTTCAATAATAAAGCAAATCAAACTTTGTGTCATATTTGAGCGAGTGTGTGAGTAATATGTTTCAATGATAATTTTTTCTCCTTTCTTCTAAATTAAGTATTGTGGGCCTTTAAATATTGAAAATTCGGTTTAAATGATGTCATATTTGAAATCTACATGTAAAAGAACATATAGGAATATGGTTTCCAAAATAGTTCATCAACTTTGAAAATCTGATTTTTTGAAAATGTGACTTCTAGTTCGGGTTGATTCCCCATAGACCCCATGTTACAAAATCACAAAACGTGAAATATCTTTTATTGTATTGGACAGATAACATTTTCCTTTGTTGGACATATTTTAATTTGCATAACTATTAGATACGTAAAGGTTATATGAAAATTGAACCACTAAAACAGATGTAATTAAAGTTAAAGGGGACTTTCTACTATACCCGCCATGCTATCTGACCCTAACGAGCCACCTGGTGGTGAAACTGGTAACTACCTATACTACTCGCATCTGCGTTATTGGTTGATATAAGTATACGGTAAAAGGCCGAACGCCGAATATATTGAAATTGCGAACGAGGAAAGTTCCAGGTATTACGTTCGCCCTTGGCGCAAGTACATTTTCTGTTAAGTTACACGTTTGAAACCGTGTCAGTGGACATGGAGCTTTATTTATGTTGTGACTCTGTCTAAGCGGCATGGCTCTATGGAGTAATGGTCAGCACTAGGACTCGTGTTTGTTAGGACTGTGTTCGAATCTTTTCGCATGAATACTTTTCCGTTTTTATTTTGCTTTATTTCATATTCAACAACGATTGAATTACTATGTATCACTTTCTGCTCATATCAAGGGCGGATGTAACACAAAGAAAATGCCTCGTTTGCAATTCAAATGTAGTGATAAGGCAATAGTACATCGTGAGATATCACACCCTTCTCTCAGTTTCCTTTCTAGTTTTAACGCTTAAGACGCGATATCAAAGGAGCAATTAACAAATTGAGCAAAATCACATGTCATTTCGTTCAACGCAAAATATTCTTGTGCATTGCAGAGATGGTCTGAGTATCAGAATGGCAATAGTAGGACCTGGTTGTTATTTCATTTCGTTTGGTATACATCTAAGTCTCGGGTATCAAATAAGCCCTGCCTATTTAAATTGTACAGAATGAAACAAAACGATAACATTTGAAGTTGTCTTTAACCCATCAAAATGTATTCTTATTTTCAATTAAAGATTGGAGTTTACTAATATAACAAGCAAGATTATCTGTATCAAATATGGGCTCAAAAGCCATCCTAAAACAAAGCTAAACCAACCACGTAATGAGCAACGTGTAATCAAGTCTGTGTAATCACTCATCTACGCGTAAAGACCTGGAACTTTTACGCTTACCTGTTAAAAATAGACTGATCTGACGTCATTTTCCTGCGCGCGCATAGAAGTACACATTCATGCTTTGTTGAATACGCGTCTGTAAATTGCTTTACGCTGGCCCACAGGAAATAAACAAATCTGACGTCATTTATCTGCGCGCGCATTGAAGATCACGTTCAAATTTAGTTAAATACGTGTAGCTTAACCTCTCTTGTATAAAGATGTTAAACTAATGACGTCACAGGTCTATGCATTTAGGTCTTTGCATTTACAGAATTAAAATAACATCCGCCACAAAGATTCTCATATTTGACTCCATCGTATATGCTCACATAACTTCTAAATGATCCAAGAAAGTATGCCGTCTTCCCAACAAGTTTTATATCGTATTCGTCATCAATCCCCATGGTGTAAAATATACCACTTGCGGTAAAATATGTTGAAGATAGTTTCAACGCGCCACTTTTTTGACTGAAATAAAAAAAGGTTTCATGCAATAAAGTTACTAATATAAAATAAATTTCACACCTTGAAATATAGCTTAATAGCACCAATAGTATATTCTCTTCAAGTTGCCTGCTATGAGAGACAAGGTGCCATGGTATGAGAGAGACAAGATCAACGAGTCGATCAACATGTCAAAAATATCAGCACCTTCAACATTTAAGAGTTCGTCATTATTATACTCACATGCCGTCTGTTTCATTGAAAACATATTGTATTGATCCCTCTAGCTTAACAGCTTGTGGGAGCCATTCTGCCTCAATAACCTTCGTAACATCCACTAACAAATGCACAGCACTGCCATCGGGAAAGAATGTTTGACCCGTAGGAACAATGCACTGACTCTTGAATCCTAATTTCCAAGGATTTACTTAAAATGAAATTAATTAGTACGCAATTAAATGTAAATCTCCTCAACAATAAATGTTTGTAGCAAGCGAAAATAGAGCATTGGTATCGTGAAAATATACTCCTCAAAAAAAGTTAAGGACCAGTGGTTTTCCTCATAGGTTTACATGTTAACCCCCATGTTTGTTGGGTTGCCATAAGTCATATGAGGAACGATCCATCCATCCGATTGCTTTCAAAATTAGAATTTTAAGAGACAATTTTGCTATATTGTCCACTGGACAAAAATATGATTTAATTTTCCAGGTTTTACAAAAATTAATGGTTTTAAATTTAGTAATTCTTTTAAGGATCCTTTTATTGAAATAACACAGGTGGTCAGTGAGGTGGTCAAAATTACTTTGTATCGCTAATTTTACCAAATGAATATAAGCTAGACATGTAAAATGTACAACCATTCGGTTTTCTACTCAGAAAGTTTTTTCAACAAATGTTTCCCCATTTGTTTAACATGGAATCAGCCATTTTTGTCAAATTTCATGAAATTCATCAATTTTAACATCAAATTTTGACCCAATGTAATGGAGATATAACATTGAAATGTTACGGACTTTAAGGGAATAGAATCAAGATACAGATTTATTTACTTCATTGGGATTTCTTTTGTTCCCCGCTTAGAAAATAGTCGTTCAAACAAATATGGGGTTAGCATGTAAACCTATGAGGAAAACCACTGGTCCTTAACTTTTTTGGAGGAGTACATAAGAAACAGTATTTTATATATTCTATTTTCACTTGTTTCAAACATTTATTGACGAGAAACGTTATCTTAGATAAATTTAGTACTAATTAATCATTTATGTCTACTTATTACCTGTCAAATCCCGGTTACTCCAGATCTTCTATTGCTCATCCCGATTTATTTTCAAAATCCCGATTTTAAGGAAATATCCCGATTTTTTGTAAAATATCACTATTTTAAGAAAATATTCAATTTTTGTAAATTATTCCGATATGTTTTCATAAGATATCCCGATTTTGTGTTTAAAACTCCCGATTTGTTAACGAGACATCCCGATTTTTAAATGTTACCCTCCCGATTTTCGTTCAAAACTCACTATTCGTTAATGAAATGCCCTCGCAAAAAATGAAAGTGTACGACAGGTTTTGTGATAAAACAAAATACAGTAGCTAACTACACATACGAAATACACTTGTAAAGCTCTTTCATCTTCTTTTAACTATAGTATTCTAGACCAGAAATTAATCAAACGTTCTGGGACTGAAAAATTCCGACCAACTGAAACGCATATAGGAGACATTATAATGAAAGTTGGAACGTGGTGAAAACAAATAAGCAAAAGCATTTTTGTGATAAACCGAAATAGCTTACTACACGTAACGTTTGCTTATTATTTGAAACCACACAATTTAATTTAATCGATCATTCTGATACTGAGGTATTTAATTAAGGAATAAATAATGATAGGCCATTCAATATGGTGAAATTCAGCACGAGTTGGACAGAATGTTGTACAAAGCACGAACCGAAGGTGAGTGCATTTGTACTAACATTCTGTCCAACGAGTGCTGAATTTCACCATATTGAATGGCCTATCATTATTTATTCCGATTCAAACATAAAAATTAGTACAAGAACACAAATGTGTACAATATGTCCCCACCTATGGGTGATCCCGTCAAATGGTTACCCTAAAAATGAGAAGACAAGACTTTACCGACACAATTTGAGGACGGAGAATCCAAAATGGCCACCTTAAAATTTACCAAGAATGCCAAAAAATTAGTCAGTTCTAGATTTTCATACTAAGAACCACCCCTGAAAATTTGAAATTGATCTACCAAACAGTTCACCTGGAAATGTGTAGACAAGACTTTACAGACGAGATTTTAGGACAGAAAATCCAAAATGGCTGCCTTGACATTTACCCAGAATGCCCAAAAACTAATCAGTTCTAGATTTTCATACTAAGAATCATCCCTGAAAATTTGAAATTGATCTACCAAACGGTTCACCTAAAAACGCATAGACAAGACTTTACGGGCAAGATTTTAAGACAGAAAATCCAAAATGGCTGCCTTGACATTTATCCAGAATGCCAAAAAACTAATCAGATCTAGATTTTCATACTGAGAATCATCCCTGAAAATTTGAAATTGATCTACCAAACGGTTCACCTGAAAATGCGTAGACAAGACTTTACAGACAAGATTTTAGGACGGAAAATCCAAAATGGCTGCCTTGACATTTATCCAGAATGACCAAAAACTAATCAGATCTAGATTTTCATACTAAGAATCATCCCTGAAAATTTGAAATTGATCTACCAAACGGTTTACCGGAAAACGCGTAGACAAGACCTTACAGACAAGATTTTAGGACGGAAAAATCCAAAATGGCCGACAATAAAAAAGTGATTATGAGTTTTTGCTGAAATATTTTTACAAAATTATCACATATAACTACTGTTAACAATAACATAGGCTTTTAAAACAAAGTACACCTGAAATTATTTATAAAGCTACTAAAAAGTTAAAGTATGAAAACTGAAAAACACCATTCAATATGATACAAAGTATTATCGTGGGCTAACTTTTCTTAAAACATTCAAAATGGCTGACATGACTGAGCTAACAGGTCCAAAACCTAATCAGATCTAGAATGAAGTGAGCTGAACAAGATGTTAAAGTTTTAAAAGCAACTGTGAAGCCGTTTTTCTTAAAGTTTGCAGACAAGGATTTTAGCATTTCACTTCAAAATGGCCGACAGGAAGTAGGTATCGAGTTAATTTTTTTTCATCCACATCTGTATGCACTCATAAGTTATCCCTGAAAATTTGAAGGTGATATCTGTAGCGGTTTTGGAGAAAACTGCCGGACGTACGGACAGACGGACAGACAGACGGACGGACAGACAGACAGACGGACAGACGGACGCGCCTAGGCCGACAATATGGCCCCACACTATGTGGTGGGGACATAAAAAGCCGTGTCTGTGGAACGGGCATGAAGGAAGAATACGCATGCTGTCAAGATTCTGAACCGGAAAAATTTTATAATTTGTTTGGGCTGTTCTATTTTACTCCCCGTTTTAGATTTTATTCAAAACAAGGAAGTCAGCCATAGTTAAATAGTTACAGTAGTTACGGAGGGAGTAAAAAAGAACAGCTATCCCCGGACAGAGCCCCAGATGTGCAGCTGAGATGTGACGTCACTCAAAACAATGCAAATTGCAGATTGAATAGAGCATGGTCGTGCATCTATCAGCTGGGCAGCCAAACCCAGAAATCAATTGTCGCGGTGATTCGGCATTAACCTGAAAACTACGCGAAAATCGTGCTTTTCTACAGAATATAGTCCCGCCTCCAAAAATCATATAAAATGACACTTGTGCATAAATTGACTTTTAATATCGATAAACGTAATGGTTTTGGCCGATATTTCGGGAAACGTTTGGAGATATCGGGATGTAACTATATTTCACGAATAATAAGCAAAATAAGGTATGCTGGGTGAGAAAGAAGACCTCAAAGAGAAAAGTTTTGAAACTGGGTTTCGATAATTTTGAAAATTGGGGTCGTATACATGTTTTGGGCATTTTTTTCTGAGATTAGTTATTTATGTGATTTTAGTACAAAACGCACCCCACTTAACTCGCGGACGTGATTTGAACGTTTTATTGCCCATTCTTATATATTTCCCGAGTTATCAGCCACTTAGTCAGCAGTAATTGATTTTCAGAAAAAAATGTTAATTCTCAGGGATCGATTTTGACATGGTCCCCTGAAGTTGTAAACACTCAATCTCGGATGAAACCCGTAGTTAGCCGATACAAAATAACCAGTAGATGATCAAATTGACGTGTAGTTCCCAATCCCCGCATTAAGTTTTTGTTGGGAATTGATTTCTTCACGTCGAAAAAAATATGTGATCAGAAAATCAGGTAAATGACAAAAACAATTCTGAGGAAACATTAGATATCTAGTTCAGAATGTTTTGGGCAAATTTTTTTCTTACAGATCTGTGGTTAAAGATCTATTGATAAATAAAAAGTAGTCTAAAATACATATGGTGTCTAAATATAAAAATACCTGGATAAGTACTTTTGTCAGGACACTTGAATCAATTGCGGTCCAGTCATATTGTCGTGTCAAAATTACCCAAAATGGTGAAGCCCTGGCTTTTGAAGAGGGTCGTCTTCGGACTCGAAGTTTTCAGTATTTTTAGCCTTTTAGCAACTAATTCTTGAATTCAACGTATGCGTATGATCTAAATACGCATAAGTCAGCCGTATTGTGCATCAATTTGAAGTTCTTATGGCAATTTGAAGCCATCATCTGGAGCGGTTTCTACTCTTGAATCCGCCAAATTGCTGAAATGCCAAAGGACCTTCTCAGGTCACGTGACCTGTTTTTTAAATTTTGCATTTCAGCCACAAAACAACAACATCGGTCATTCATAAATTGTTTGTGGATGGCTTTGAGCACCAACTTGGCATTAGTGTACTTAAAATCAAGAGAGAATGTCAAACAAAACAATAATCGCTAACTGTTTTATCATTTTTTAGTTGATTCCAAGGGGTCTTTCCCTTTCGTTCGTAATTTTAAAGTATCAATGGCGCTGAAAACAAATTGAACTGGCTCAGCCTATTTGAACGGATTTTAGTAGATTCATGGATATTTAGATCAGGCCTGTCAACTGTCCCGCAATTTGCGTATTCGTCACGCATTTGCTGAAGAATTTGAAGTCACGCCAGTTTTTTTTGCGTGACAGAAAATGTCACGCAAAATACGCATTTTACCTGGCAATTGTCAAGCAAAAATATTTCTGGAGAAATTGTTTCGAAATATGATTACGATACGGTAAAAATACGAACGTCGGAAAAAACCGAACGCAATTTGTTCGGATTTGTCACGCAAATCCCGTATGTGTCACGCATGTTCATTGTAAATTTTTCGTACCTACCCCCCCCCCCCCCCCCCCCCCCCCCCCCCCCCCCCC